GAGCTTTTAGGAGCATGTAAACGGATTGTTCAATCAGTTTTGGTGATATAAAACGATATATTCCACTCACAATTAGAGTCCCATATCCACAACTAACCAAATTAGTGAAGGACAAACCGGAAAGTTTGTTACGGTTGTTTAGTAAGAATAGACCAACATTACAATGACGTGAACTCTTTACCAAACCAGAGTTTAAATATGCGAGACATAACACCTTTGTGTATTGAAATCAATGCTTGTTGAAGTAAAAATGTAAAGCCTTTCTGTCTTCAGCTGGATGCACCTGCTACCATATAAAAAACATGATAGTTAAAGTGACAGACAATGTGCCCATGGGGAATTGAAAGTCATTCCACTAAATTAATATGATGAACAGAAAGGTCTTTTTAAGGTCACACTGAAAAGGCATGCAGACTTCAGTGCTATTTTGCTTAGATAAATGGTTAACGCTGATAATCTGTAATTGACAGCGAACAAAACACGGAGCTTCGCTTTATTTCCTCATTTGTTATTGTCAACGGCTAGAAATTAGCCATGGTATAAGCAGTTCTAGGAAATGCAGAGAAGTAATCGAAAGCCCGTTATGAATACCATAGAAAAGGGAAGAATAATTATTTTCTCAAATTATAATAGATATAGGAAGTCGGTGATGACAAATCTAGTGAACGAATATACTCTACAGGCTACAGATGGCAGACTTTAATCATCCAAAGACTGCTCAGATGAAGAAGAAAACCAAAGAATCGGGCCGGAAAATGTATGCCCATGCATGTGTTGTTGGTCGTTTGATTTATTTAGAATCATGAGGATGGAAACGAAGGACAAGTTTGCCTACATTTGCTTTTATATAGACCCTACTTAGATTTCATCATATATCTTGTGGAGTATGTAGATAAGTGATATAATTCAAAGTCCTTTATGTTATTAGAAATTTAAAATTTCGTGGAAGGTCCTATTTGTTACAATTCAGTAATAAATCGCTATGTGTATATTTTCCAGTATTGCTAAATAGCTGTGATTTGATTTTAACAGAAAGAGAGCAAAGATATTGAAATAAACAGGACAGAGAGAGATTTGAACCCGAATTACTTAAACTGTAAATATAAGTTCTAATAACTGAAGCATAACGTCACGTATATGCGCGCGGCGACTGGTTTCTTTTTTACTAAAGAGGCAATAAATCGTTCCCAAATTACCCATTTTGCACAATTAATAGACGATTTAATTCCCGTGACAAAATAAATTTACATTATGATTTATGTATCTCAAGGACACATAAATAATATATTATTTGTTAATTTACTTCTTGATCTGTTCATATAGTGTAAAGAAATTTTGTGTTGACAGTTTGCACTTTGCTTCTTATAAATGATTCAATCAGCGAATAAAGCAAAACGGACACTACCCCAACTTCCCTTTAATATTTGAATACAAACTCCCTTAGATTTTAAACGTTAAGAAAAGTATCATCCTTCGACGGACGATAAGTTGTTAGCATCTATATAGTTCACGAATATTGACAATTTCCAATCAGAGTATTAGTGCAAGCATGCACCAGCCTAAAGCCTAATTAATTAAAGCATTTACCATATCAACAATCAACACAGAGACCAAATACAATTCCAAATTCTATAAAGAGATAAGATGGGAGACCGAGCTATGGAGAGGGGTAGAGGGAATCGATAATTTCTAATGTGACACTCTAAATTTCTGACTTGAATAACCAAATACGTGATCCATCAACAGATTTTACTCTCTTGGCTCCGATGAGATGCAGCGATATTTTTGAGTGTTCATCATTTCGGTTCTGAAGCCTTATGCTAATGGACATTTCACGTGCCAGTAAAATATTGATTTGCTTTTTTCTCTGACATTTATCAATACGAATTAACACAATTAAACTTTTTAAAAACTTTTTTTTTAATAATCGCATTTACATTTAGCATCCGCTTTATGTGATATTACTATAACCAGATGCGAATATCAACAATCAGCAATATCTCAGTATGTTTAAGATGATATAAAGTAAATTTCTACGTCGATCGATTGACACCACTCTAGACAAGGTACTTAGTCCTCTGGCTGTAGAAATTCATTCGTCGAGGGATATTTGTTTGCTCATTCCGTAATATTGACAGATGAGGGGAGACAGAGTCAGGCATATTTAAATCCTTGGTATGCGACACATTGCATAATTTTATTAAATCTTTGAATATTATCGCAGGTACAAGATCCAATGTTCAGAAGCATGTTTGTTTTGTTTGAGAACCCATTTTACACTGTGTCTAATCGGAAGGTCTCTTCCTGACTTTATATTTTGGTAACGAATATATTACATACCATTTTTACTCCATGATTTTTCATTTCAGGAAAGTGTGCTTTCACGATAGAATGTAAATCTACACTCAGGTATAAAGATAAAATATTCTGCAAAAACTTTTTTTTTTGCATTTTAAACGTGCAAAGGAGTGAACGATAGATAGAGCCATGTAGACTGAGATTTAAAAAAAACTTTTCATCTAAAAGCTGAACATGTCTGTTTAGTGTGGAGTTCTTTCCTCAAACAAAAATCACGGTTAAGGTTTTATCACGAAAAAAAAAAACTTCTAAAAATACATCACATATCTAGTTGATTCTCAAGAGAAGACAAATGATGCTAGAGCCGGAAAGCATATTCTTGATAGTTGATATGCATCACGTCATATTTGAGATTTTAGAAAGGGAGAGGGGTATTTGAAGACAGTGAGATGCTATCCTATGCTAAGGATAACTTGCATGGGTCAGACATATTTGGTGAAGTTAAAACTTTTACATTGCTTGCTACACTTAGAATATAAAAATAAAGTATCTTTGATTTATTCAATAAATTAATCATTTGTCATTGTTCCGTTGTTATTGTATGAACTTGAATGTAATAAATGAAACTTAAACGACATCCATACCCCCAAAACAATTAATTGCCAAATAAACAATACTTACTATGACATTTTTCCCATTATTTTGTTCGGATAAGCTTTTAGATTTGCAAGATGTTCCTTTCAAGCATAAGTGTGTGCCGAACAATTTACATCATGCATGCTTTATTAAAATGATTGAAGACGTCTTTTTCCACTATCCCAAAAATGGATTACGGAATTAACTCAATTACCAATGGCATCCGCATTCTGATGCCCTCATTGCATCAAAAATGAAAATATAACAGCGGTATGTCTTTTTTCCCCAACATTCGGTTAACCACTGTGCGAGTACATCATACAAAGCATTGTTTGTGAAAATGTCTGTTGAGAGGGTAATCGTGCGTCTACAAGGAAAACAGGTTCAATAGGTTCTCCTACAGTATTTGCTTCTGTGTCAAGTATAAACTACATTCAACTCAATAGCTATATCCGCTGTAACTTTCATATTATGTTGTAACGCATACACCTCGTCCCCTTTCCCGCATTATTCGGTAACAAGTCAAAATGGAAAGCAGAAATCCATATTTTCGACAAAATGTTTAAAACAATTTTTTTTATAAAACATTCTTGTCTCGTTTTAATTATTATATGAGAAGCCTTTCATCAACCTTTCAGTCTTTTCTGTCAGATTTTGGATCTGCGCACCATATACGTCTTGCCCTGTCATATTAAAGGAATCCTTTCTCATCTTTACCTTAATAACACATATTCATACATACATGCATTGTCCTTAATTCCTGTGAAGCCTTTTAAACAAGGTAAAACAACAATGCCACGCGATGTCCTTTAAAAATTGTGTTAGGTAAATTTGCTTTTCAATTCCTAATTACATTCAGATTTGTGTGTTATCACATAGGTGTCTTTATAGTGTCTCACTCAGGAGAATTCTAAATAAAAAAAAAAAAATACATCCTATGCCGAAAAAAAGAAAACTACTCCTTAATGCTGAATGTCTCTCTTCTTTATAAAATCATTTTTGAATACCTAACTCATACTTCATTTTAAAACATAGAGTGTGTGTACCATTTTCTAAGTAACAGGTAGACGTATTATATTTTTATTAAAACAAACGCACAGAGGAAGTGCATTTCTTTTGTTTCAATGATATTTGTCTTTTCACGTTTTTATCATATATACCTACAAAGAGATACGAGATTAATAAGTTGACGTGCAACTAATTATTTTGACATTCGAGCCAAAGATATTGACATGTAACTTATTTATGGCAATATTGACATGCAATGTTCATGTTGCTAAGCAATTTATTCATGTTAAAATGTAACTTATTCATGTAGTCCTTACTTAAGTTTTATGTCAATATAGATAAGTTGTATGACGACAAATTGACTGTGCATTGCAGGAAACATTAAATTAGTTGCATGTCAACATCAGTAAATTACATGTCAACAATAATAAGTTAAATATTAACAAGAATAAGTTGCATAGCGACATAAATAAGGTACATCTCTGCATACTTGCTGTCACATGTTGGCGATATGTGATAAATTATGAAAATTTTCCTTATTCTTTTATGACCATACTTCCCTTGCGTGTCAAAAAGGCTATGATTTATATTGGCATATTAATGATGCATATTGATATAACTGTCTTGCATGTAGGCGAGATCAATACAATATTAACTTGCAGAAATATGCCCCCATACATGGCCGTAGGAACCGGGGGGCACGGGGGGGGGGGGGGCGTGACCCCCCCAATAATTTTGCCGATATATAGAATACTATAGAAAAAATAGGTACTATATGTTTGTACCCTCTCAATAATAACGTCTGATTCCCTTTTTTTTTTTTTGCTTGTCAAGAAATTTTGGTTGTTGATAGTGCCCCCCAACTGAAAATGTTTAGTTGTGCCCCCTCAAATTGAAATTGCTTCCTACGGGCCTGCCATAAAATTCTAATTTGGTGAGACGAGAATCGTTCTTTCTGAAACAAAATATAATTCATACATTTTGGCATCTTATATTTTTCTTCATGTACAGCAATATCTAATTTTGAATATTGTAGATAACATATAAATAAAGAAATGTTTTATTTTTCATTTTATTTAAATAAATATAAATTCCACAAATCAGTTACAAACATTTTTAACACATGCCACACTTTGCCACATCAGTGGCAATGATACATGCAAGATGCAACCCTCAGATATGTTACAATTTTGCAGGTACATAAGAGATATATTTAACCAACAGTTCTATTAAGAAAGCTATTTAAGGCTGTGCATTCTCACATATCACGTTTAATTTTTTTTTCAAGAATTTCTGATTAGTTGTGAAAATTGAAATTTGTCCCTATGGGCCTTGTTCAAACAATCACTGATTACTAAAAACCATTGATGATCAATTACTGATTTTCAGTTTTTAGTACAGTGCAGTTGTATTTTTTTTTATTCTTGTCACTTGTCTGATTATAACACAAACATTGATATGAAATGCAACTAAACGAGACGGATAGGGTTTTTCTTTTATCGCCTCATCTTGATTAGTCTTCTAGCAAAGCAACATAAGGAATTATCAACAATGTCCTCTTTAAAGACAAAAGACTAAAAATTCCTTATAGTAGTTCGAACTTAACTAATGATTTGGTCATCAGCGAAACAATGTACAAGATTTGTAAGATTTCCACCAAGAAGTTCAAGAATATATGATTGTCTTTTCCATGGATATCTCATATTTGAAACCCCTGATCACTGTTTCGCCTTCTTGAACTGACAGAAAGTTAATAGAATCGGAGTATACATATAACAACAGTTGGGGGAATAATGAGAAACAATTTCTTTTTCTTTTTGTGACTTAAAAATGTATTAACAGATTTTGTGTCCGTTTTGTGCTTTGTTTGCAACGAATATACTTTTAATGCACTTAATCTTTATTCATTTCCTTTTCTTTAAGAGATTCCTTTTTTTTAAATCAAAAAGTGATATTTTTTCAGGTCTTGCAGTATAATTTCATAGTGTCTCGTTAAAGAATATACGAAATACGACTTTGAATGCCATAAACATCTCTGAAAATTAACCCTTCTTTCATTATTTAATAATCAAAGAAGACATTTCTTCAGAGCAATGCAAGAATTAACTTTCTGGAAAAAATATATGAACTTGAAATATGTTTTAAACAACTGGGAAAAAACAAAATCTTAATTTAGTGTGATTTACACTGTGCTAACGTAATTTGTATGCTAATTTTAAAGAACTACACACATTTTTTAGCACCTTTTATAAGATATAAGTACATGCTAAAATCGACTATTTAAGATATGTGTGTAAATTTCATTTACATAAATAAAATATTTCATGTTGTTATGCATCTCAAACAGAAAATTATGAGACGGAAATAACAACATTATAACTACATGTATTGTGAATCCTTCTACAGTTCTGTTACATCTAGTTTTGTCTTTCGGCGCCATATAGATATTGGTGAGGTCCTACAGCCTCGTGTGCTAAAACTTCCGTCTCTTTTGCTGGTCCTGTCCTTTGAGTCAATGGTTTTATTGTCCATATCTGTAAACGAATAAGGAAAATAAACAATTTTGATCCCGATAGTTCCAAATATTTATTGTTTTAGGGACCTTGATATCGATAATAACACTAAAAAAAGAAAGCATCGGGTTCCCTTTTTAGGCATATTTTTTACTGAGAAAATCCGAATAAGAATTCATGTTATTCACTAAAATTTTAGAAAACAAAGGATCAGTTGCGTTTCTGTCCGTGTTGCCTATATGAGAGAGTCAGTACTTAGTGTTTATTAGAGGGCTTCATTTGTAAATGGCAAGGAAAACGTCCTTTCAGACTTAACTACGCATTTATTTAATATTGAGATTGAATGATTGATTGATTATGTTTAATGCTGAGTCGGCAGTACTATTCTAAGGCCTTAATTTCTCCAAGTGAAGACGAAGGTTTACTTTTCAACTCATTTTTAACAAGAAAATCTTTTCAATATCGACAACTTTTAAAGGAACCAATCTGTAATGTAAAAATCAGAATCTGGGAAGATTATATCCAGCCTTCTATTGCTAGAAAAATAAAAAAAAATACCTTATCTACCTGTGCAATTGAAAATGTTTGCGAGAAAAAAACTTCTACGTTATGTTATTTCATTCGAACGACATTTCGTAACGTGTGCAATCAATATTGCATAATATGGTAATTAATTTTCCAACTTACAACCTTTAGGGGATTCTATTTATCTGTTTACTTATTTTGTAAGTGTACAAATACTGGATTTTGAGTTTCAATGAATTCACCCGTCACATATATACAACAATAAATCTTGACCTACTTACTGTTTTACTTTTAGCTGAGTCAACCTGTTCGTATCGTGGTAGCCGTTGCCTTCTCCAAAGTCTGAAATAAAAGAATGTTTCTGAAAAGATAGCCTGTTTTATTTGAAAGAAATGCGAAGATAACGAATAGCGTTTATATGCATTCTCTAATCACATTTAAACAATTCAAATTATGAGGAGAGCCAACACGGAACCTCTGTAAGCAGAGGTGGGATCAGGTGCCATGGAGGAGTAAGCATCCTCTGCTGACCGGTCACACCCGCTGTGTGCTCATTTTTAGGATCGGGTAAACTAATTAATAAAAGAATTACAAAATATTGCAATTAACATGTACATAAAAGCCAAATATACCTTAGTCATTGTCCATTTTTCACAAGTTTCAAGGGCTGAGGGAAAACTATTTAGAATAAATTTTAAGTTCTATTCTCGTTCAAAGTCTTGACATACGCTTGTAGCCAACGAGTGTCAAAGCATTTTAAAGTATACGACATTGCGTTTCCTACTAGATTAAAACGGATTTTCATTCTTTTTCGTACTAGCAAACGGATTAATTAAAGCAATGCCGATTTTACCTACATATATATAGTACCTTGACATGTTTGATTTCAAAGATTATGAATAGAATGCATGAAACATCCAATGATCCGACCCTTCTTACTATTTTTATTCATTTTCCAGTTTATATGAGTTTTAGCATACCTGACCAGTTTCTTATATAAAGTTGAATTCTTTACTTGTTATCAGATTTTTCATACCTCCTACATGCATCGATGCTATAGACGGGCACATGTATCCTGTATGACTTTTGTCCATTTTAGATAAGGAAACTGCATAATTCATTACCTGATATTCATTGTGGCAAAGGGAGAGTATTCTTACCTGATATCTGGACTTGTGTATAGACAGTATGCTGTGTAGGAAATAGAAAGGGCGGAACCTAATCCGACAACTAGAGCTAGAGGAAGAGTCTGGAAAATAAAATAGATAGGATCACAACATACAATTTTTTTTTTTTAAATTATCAGTTAAACTAAATAAAGCACACATTTTACTATGCATGCATATTTTGCATGTTAGGGGAATTTATAGAAATAAGTAATATTTTATCTTTTTTCTAAAATTTGAATAATAGTAAAAACAAAATCGCACGAAAAATCGATTGTCATCTACTTTACCCCCCCCCCCCCCTCTTTACCTCGGAAACGGCAATAGACCATATGTACAGGCTGTTAAAAGAGTTTTTAGGTAGTTAAAGTATACTAAAGACATATTTTTAAATTTTTCCACACGGTATTACAAAGCGGCATATTTCTTTCCTTTGTCGATAATGCACATTGCGCTCTAAGCGCACATGCACTCACTAATCATTAAATAAAAAATGGATAAGCTCTTAAAATTAGCAAATAGTATAATGATATAATCTACAATCCCTTACCAAACTGTTATGTTTGCTGCAGACCTGCAGCAAGTCTGCTGCAAGTTTGCAGCAAACAAAATTGTTCGCAGGAAGAAAATTTTCTTGTTCACAGATGATTGCCGCTAGCTGCGATCTTGCGGCAAACATTGCAGCAATTGCTGTAAGCTTGCAGCAAATTCGCAGGAACTCAACATGATTGCAGGAACATTGCAAGAAACATACACGCCAATCTGTTGTTCGCAGCAAGTTTGCAGGAAACATTTAACAAATTGAATGTTTGTAGGAAGTTTGCAAGAACAGTAAACAAGTCAAATCAGCCAATGAAATGCAGATATTATACTGGGGTCAACACAGAATTCGCCATTTTGAAATGTTTGAATTGAAGTTGTAGATGTTTCAGTATTTTGTTAGGAATATATACCATTTTGAATGATTACAAACGCAAAATTCTGGATGTAGGTGTACACTGGCATACACAACATCTAATTGGTAAGATCTGATTTTGTTTTATTTTGATATGAAACAATTATCTCTTTAAAACATACATGTTTAAGTAACTGTTGTACTTGCTAGGTCAAATCTTAATCTATTTAAGAGTTTTAATCTTTAATTATTTTAATATAACATTTGTATGTTTCTTTAAATGTATTAAAGGTTCCAAATCAACTATTATAAATGTTTATAGATATGTTTTCAAATAAATTGGTATTAACCGTAAAATTTTATTGTTAAAGTAATCTGCAAAGGTTTTTAATTTTCTGTACATGTCAAAAGAAATCATATTATATTTTTTATTAAGAATAGTATGTGAACATTGTCTAGGAACAAAGAGAGAGACTATCAACACTTCAGAAACTAGCTTGCATCATTTTAGACACATGTGGTGGATTTTCTCTATAATTAACAGATTAAGGTCAGGACAAAGGCTCTCTAGCTGCGAACTTGCTGCATGTACGCAGGAATGTGCCAAAACAATAATTAGATTCCTTACCACAAGTTAGCGGCAATGTTTGCTGCAAACTTGCAGCAATGTTTGCCGCAAGCTTGCAGCAACGTTTGCCGCAAGCTTACAGCAAGGTTTCCATATTTGGAAAATCCAGTGTTTGCTGCAGACTTGCAGCAAACCTCATTTGCATGGTAAAATGTTTGCTGCAAGCTTGCTGCATACTTGCCGCAAACTTGCTGCAAACACAAAGGCTTTGTATAGACTGCCATGGTTTCTTTAGCTTCATTGCAGCAAGCTTGCAGCAATGTTTGCAGCAAGTTTGCAGCAATGTTTGCTGCAGACTTGCAGCAAATGTTTGCAGGAAGGCAATATTTTTGGTAAGGGATCGTGTTTCCATTAGCATTTTACAAACATTGAAAAATATTCAGGAAAATTGAAAGTAGGGGATTCTATCCAACCCCATTCCCTAAGCCAATCAGGATAACTGCAATAAAACAATTATCAGAACTTGTCTACAGTGTAAATTTTGTGAAAGAATAATGCATTTCAACAATTGCATGAAACGTGAAAATAATGTATAATTTCTTTTCTCAATGCATTGCAAGGTGGTTGATTTAGACCCTCAGTTGCAAATTATACACATTGCACTCTAAGTACACGAGTACAGCCACTTGTTCTTAAAATAAACACAGGATAAGCTCTCAACAAATACTAATGATGAAATCCTTTATCAATGGTTTCTATAAATCAATGTGTGTACGTGCAATGTCGTGCGTTTTTGTTCTTCTGGGAACTCGACTTGGGTCATAGTGTGTTATGTAATATAATCCCAATATCAGGGCAAAGATAGAAGAACTCGAAACCAGGATATAAAAATGAGTTTTTTATAAGCTGATTTCTTGCTATAAATAATGTGCAAAATGTTTGTATTTGCGAGATCCAGGAAAATTTAATTTTGTTAATTTCATAATCATGCAATAATTACAATACTTTATTTGATTGATTTTTTCCTCTATTTTTGACTGCATTGCTGATACATCTTTGGAATGTTGTTCATAATATTTAATGGACGTTCAAAACCATTTTTTTAAATGAAAAGAATTTGCTAAAAGTACAGAGAATATTAAAATATTAAAAATATTCTTTTATAATTAATTATACCGATACATAAATGCGCACACCCTTCCGGTGGTTTATGAAATAAATGCATCTACATGTAGATCTTATTTATAAGTAGACAAAAAGTTTTACCAAGAAGAATAACAATAAAAATCCCCTTACATTAAAGATCCTTTAAAATAACTGTAGGAAACGAATGATGCAATCGATTTTGTAAACAATGCAGAAAACTCAGATTCCCATCTCGGTCGCTTTCTACATGTATTTACATTTGGTCGAACGTTTCTTTAAAATGACAGCGATGAAAAAATTCTTCCTAATCCGAAAATAAATCTGCAAGACATTTGCACATCCAGCGGCTGACAAAAAATGTCTTAAATCATTACTTTAAATGAACATTGATGTCAGTATAGCATGCCACTAACAATAAATTTCATCGTTAAATGCAAGTACAATATAGCCATAGGAAACTGCAATTGATTCCAATAATGATGAACAGACAAGGTCTTCTCAAGGGTAGACAGATAAGGCAAGCTGAGTTCAGAGCCATTATTCCCAGATAAATGGTCATCTCTAATTATTGATAATTGAGAGCGTACAAGTTACGGTGCCTCTCTTTATCTCACATTTTTGTATCGTTAACTGCAAGAAATTGGTTATGATCATTAACTGTTTCTTGGAGATGCGACCGGAATCATGGGCAGAGAACGAGGCAATTTATTTTACTTCTTTGTGAAATAGTTATTTAATTAACTTCATATCTATATGTACTCTTTTTAAATTGCACTGAAATTTAAAATTTTGATTTATAAAAATCAATAGTTTACTTGTTAAGTCTGATTAAAGCATTAAAAAAAAAAAAAAAAAAAAAAAATTGCACACATTTTTGCTCACGGTATTACTGACAGAAGGGTAATAATGGTTCAGGGGGCTAGTTGACATCCTCAATCATAAGAGTGCTGAGGAAAATCATAGAAACCGCCGGAAAATGAAAACAAAGTAACGTTATGTTACTGATTTTTTTTCTTCAGGTATTGGATTAAATACTTATTCACTAGACAGTGCTAATAGGCGGATCCATGTAGTAGGTGTTCAAGAGGGTATTCCAACCCCTAGTAATTTCAATTGGAATTGTGAAATTCTATAGTAGAGTAGCCTAAAATTATTTCTCAACAAATGTATTCCCATTCTGTCATCCGAAAACACGGCGACCCTTCGAAGTATGCAGAAAGCGTCAGGTAACTGAGTCTTAAATGTCTGTCACAATTATAACTTTCTCTACATTACGGTTAAAGATGAAACTTGTTCCCTTGACAAACAAACATTGAAGTTCGATAAAGCGTTCACCTTCTCTTACAATTATTGCATTCAGATATAATTGCAAAATTCAGCAATCAAACAGCAATAAATTAGCAGCTTTTAATTTGATAATGAAAAATTATATGTAGATCGATTGAAATTATTCTCCATAAGGCATTGTTGCAGTGGAAATTCAGAAGGTAAAAGCTAGGTTTTCGGTATACGACGCATGACATAATTTTATTGAATTCTCAAGAGTGCAATTTCAAACATTATCGCAGGTATTGGGTTCAATATCCTCAAAATGTACATTTGTTTGAGAGCCTTAGTGACTCTTTGTCTAATAGGAAATCTAGCTGAGTGAGCACTTTAACTACACCTCCTAATAACTTCTTATGACACGTCGGAAATGAGACATTTTGTAAATCAATCTATATATTCTTTCTATAATAAATACATTTTCTTGCTATGACTCAAAAATAGCAAAATGTTTGCCTAGTAAAAAATCAGAAAGGAGAAACCATTTCTTAATCACTTTTTTTTTTAAATCTTAAAGTTGAACATGTCTGTTTAGCGTTAAGCTATTTTATCATCAAACCGTCAAAATTTAAGTTTTATCAAGACAAAACTCCTGCTAAAAAATTATCACCTATCTTGATATATTACAACATGAGACAAATGATGCTAATAGACAAAGCATATTTTGATAATTATGGATACTGCAATACGTAATATATAAGGCCCTGAAATTGGGGAGTGGCATTTGATGCCCGAAGGTTTTTAGATTAACGCTGTTGAGGGCACTGGGTCAGACTTGCTTGGTCAAGCTGAAGAGATCTATAAAAGCTTGCTAAACTTAGATTATTAAGATATAATAATTCAGATTTCTTCAAAATGTTTTTCATCATTTATCATAGGAAGTGAATGGATTGTTTTGTACGTGATAAATCATGAGGAAACATGGACACATATTCCCCTTCCTCATGAAAAAAGATAACTTCCTAACATAAATCATTCCCAATTATATTGTTTAATCGATTTTGTACTACAGTGTGCTTTTAAATTCACAGAATAAATTACCTGTTAAACCTGAGTCTGTACAGGAAAAAAAGTTACACGGCGCATATTTCATTAACCAGACCCCTGTTACATAATTTAAAAAAAAAAAAATCAGGAATTTCGGTATTGATTCAATTACTTCTGGTATCCGCATTCAGATGCATTCATTACATTCACTGCAACAAGCAGGAATACAATACAGATATTCGCTTTTTCCTAATGATAAAGCACTGTGTGGGTACAACATAACAAAGGCATTGTTTATAAAAATGTCTAATGACGGGGTAATTGTGTGTCAACAAGAACAGTCCTCCTATACAGTTTGTGTGTCTATTTCCATCTAAGTAAGATATAGTTATAGTAAATTATCTTCAACCTGTGTTGGTCAACCATAACCCCTACCCCACCCCCAAAGACGCCATCCACACCCCTGCAATTCAAAAATAAGTCAATATGAAAAGAAGTAAGGCTCATCTGAATAAACTTTAAAAATAAACTAATTTTATTTTTGTAAAAAAATTTAAAAACTTCAATATATTTTAGTTAAATTTATTTATTTTTATTCTATTTAAGTGCATTACAGGTTTATTCTAGCATGCGTCGTTCAATCTCTCTTTCCTCTATGTAAGATTTTGGAGATGTGCAAAAATACGTCTTATCAAAGGATTCTCGCTAATTCTTAACTTAGTATATATACATGCATTGACCTAAATTCCTGTGGAGCTTTTTAAACAAATGGGAAAACACTTCAACTTTTAAACAACAATGTAATGCAAAGTTTTCCAAACCTTTTTTTATTACTTGTCTTTTCTATATTATACTCAATCACGCAGAAATAATCGATGTACCACACCTTCAATCAATTAAAATTGTCATAAATTCTTAATAATTGTTTTGTTTTCTTCATTCACAAACGGATGTAGCTTAAAAATAGAAAAAAATCCATTTTCCCATATGCTATGATGCATTGAATTATGGTGTCATATTTCGAATTTCTAGAGAACAAATTAAACTGCAGAGAATAGGAACACATTTAAAAAATGAATACACGTACTTTGTTACATTATGTAGTCTACATTGACCTGTGGAAGTTGCAAAAATCTTGTTTTAATACATAATACGAATTCCTTGAAGACATGATTATAAAATTATAATTTATGTTTATTGCTCCTTCCAGTAAAACAAAAACAAAAAACACAAAAACAAACTTTCTTTTTTACTAAGCTCGTGGAACTGTTAAGTGGGGAGCGGATTCTTCTTTTGTGGATACGGAACCTAAGAAAACCAACTACAAGTAAATCAGTGAACTTAGATAAACTACAATACTATTTCGCAGAGACTGTGGTCAGCGGATATCCTCCTTTTATCCAAGCATCACAATACTACAGTAAAACACGCTTATAGCAAACAAACTTATAATGAAATGATGTTTACAGCGAAGTGATTTTCATTCCCCGTGGCTTTAATATATATTGTGAACTTAACGAATATAACAAATTACTTTCATAACGAAGCAAAATCACTCGTCGTTGGCACTTCGTTGTAAGCGTGTTTGACGGTTTATAACAATGTTATATTGTGTGGGATACTAATCACTGGCGGATTTAGAGGGGGGGGGCGGCCCCCCGTTCCCTTTTGTGTCCAAAATATACATCAGATTTAATGAAACAGTTTTTGGGGGTGGCCATGGGCCCCTACCCGACCTCAAACTGACCCCCCCCCCTTTCAAGATTCTTGGATCCGCCACTGCTAATAGAGATACTCACGCCATGATGGTGCTTTAGATGATGTTTGAAAACATCCCAAGGAAGTAGCATGATTGCTTTCGAAAGACGGCCTGAAAATAGAATTTTAAATTATTATTATTTTTTTCTAAATGTTGACTGTCAATTTCTCTATTACACTTCTAGATATGCATCTGAAATTTCTTTTGAGAAACATGAATGCATTATGTACGTAAATGTTGAAGTGAAATGATTTTATTTATTTTTATTATTTTTTTTTTACATATGCACTTTAAGTGTGGGTAATGGAAACATCCGAGAAAAATGTAATTTAACAATTAATTTAATACAGCACCCGCAATATTATATACTTACGAATATTACAAACAAATGACAATAGTAGAAAAGAATTTTGTAATGATTTCTATTTATTATATTCCCCCCTTGGATGCCTTTTTTAAAGGAAAGGAAGTTTGCCTTTTGCATTATTTATCTTCCTGTTTAATGTTTTATGAAAACGAAACACATTTTTAAAACATATTATGAGATATCTCATTTTTTTTCCCCATTATTATCATTTTGCCTACACTTTAAATCAAAACGGAAAGTTGTGGTTCTATTATATAATGAATGAAATAGAGACGAAAACAAAATCATGACACTAAGAATAGACGATATATTGTAATAACAGAATGAAAAATATACTTAAGAAATTTCTTAATATATTCTATATCTAGGCAAACATTTACCAAAATTTTACTTTATAAAGAAACATTTTAATTATATTTTCATTCAATTAATTGATGTAGCTCAATTTAATGAAATCAAAATACTAAAAACTTACCCGATGTGTCAGTCCCTCACAATCCTTTATTACAACAGGTTTTCCTCCTCGCCCTTCACTCAATACAATATTAATCAAATTTTCCGGAATTTTTCGAGCTACATAGAAAGACGCACGTATGCAGACGACATAATCGATCCTCGTCACCTTGGGAAGGTCAGATTGATCGCGCGGGGGATGATAGTTTGGTATATAATAAAATACTGCGCCGCGATGTGTTTTATGTTTATACATTTACAAAACATCCGGATACTTAAATTTATCTAGCTTCTTACAACAGGAAAGTATTATTTTAGGGCAACAAAGAAATTCATAGCCTTGTTTATGTTGGTTAACGAGCGAATTATACACACGGCGGATATATGTAAAATATTGAATTGGAATTCCCCATTAATGCATTTGTAGTTCGTTTAAATATGTTTCAAATGTGAAAAAAAAAGATTTATTTTTTTAGTGGTAATGGTGGGTAAACAATTAAGTAGTCATTTAAGACAACGAATAAATAAATATTCACATAAATAATTTTTTTTTTAAAGTTATCTATCTGGATTTGAAAAGTCGATTAATTAATAGTAAATTGGGACAAGGGCAAAATATTTGTATTATATATTCAACCAAGTTTAAACATTCTCTCCGCTTTGATTAAGTTTTACATTTTTTTTTTTCATTTGATCTACTGATTTATATAGATATTTAATTGCTCTATGTCTGTAAGAGGTCTTGTATTCCATGCGCTTTATCAAATCAAAGATATTTAAATAATATGTTTGGATGAAATTTTCACAATTTTAGATCTATAATCAATAAATACAAAAAAAAGTACATAAACAAATGATAGAAAGATAGGTTTTAGATGGTGAATATAATTTTACTAAAATCGCTTTTTTTTTTAACCTTGATCCGTGTCGTACAAATTGTTTACTGAATTGTGGTTTAATACACATACTTCTTTCAATATTTTAACATACATTACCATTTAAAATATAGTTTTATACTATTTCATCGTGGGAAGTCTGATACACGTTAGTAACGGGTTAATCCTAGGAGAGCGGAAAACGTGTCGTACTGCAAGGTGTTATGTTTTAGTAGATCAAACAGTAAACAATTTAATCTGCTCAGCCATTCATGTAAACATATTAAATGCCGAGATGATAAATATCCGATAAAGAAGCCTGATGAAATGTAATTAATTCTGGTACGAATTTAAGGGTCTCTACTGGTATGTACGTGAGAGTTTCGGTGTATGTGTCCTTCATCATTTACAATAACGCTTATAATTTATTTCTATTCATATACAAAAAGATCTGAATATATATGTAGGATTCATCATGAAATATTCAGTCACTAAATGAGCATTGTCCATTTAAGTTTTCATAGGCAGATTCAATAGGGGCTTGTGGGGGGGGGGGGTCCCAGCTTGCAAATTTATTTAATCTATATAGCAATGTGACATAAGGATGATTTGTACACCCACCCAACCAACCCATCCCATAGGAAACACAGCCCCCCCCCCCCCCCAACATTATAACGTGATAGAAAAATCATGCTTATGCAAAAGCAAATTTCCGATATATAAGGTATTTTTAAGACCCTACTCTATTTTCCCGATTTGGCACTTTTTTCATTCCGTGTCTAAAGAAATTGGAGTTAGATTTTTTTTTTGGGGGGGGGGGGGTGGATTGGACCCCCTTTAATAAATCAAAAAATAAGTTAAAATACTGTACTACGAAAATTCTGCAGGGTATATATGATTAGGGGACTTTTTTCCTTTTATTTTATTATTGTTTTCTTTAAATTGAAAAATGTTTAAATATTATAGATTATGTACTATCTATAATAAAAATTAAAAAGATATTTCCTTGAGACAAAAGCAATTGATACTTATTTTCATTTTATTCATTTATTATTCGTACATATTTTCCCATGAGAAAACCAAGATATCTGTCTATATATTTAAGATTCTGTGGAAATCCTATAGATTTTAATCAGTTGCTGATAATTAAGATGTGGGTACACAATATTGTCGAAAGAATTGTAGTGTCTCTGTTTTGCTGTGAGAAACCCCGACTATATGTGTCTGATCGAAATGTAACACATGCAGGAGATGCACAATGGTACTATGTAATAAAGATTTTGTGAAACATTCATAAAATTGAATTGAGAGGTGTTAGAGGAGTTGCAGATAAGATGTGGTTCCCCCCAAGTATAATAGAAGGACGGACGAACGGACTCACAAACTCCTTACTATATCCCCCGGATTTTCAAGCGGGGGGGGGGGGGGGAGGGATAATATATAATGATACTTTTGTGGATATATCTTTGAAGAACAGCATTGTCATTAAGATATTTTAAAGAAAGTGAACCGATTTTAGATTGACGAATCACAATTTATTCAATTAATAGTTTTCGCTAAATGAAATCATTTTTTAAATCATATTTTTGAAAGTGTATGGGAATAAAATAAATGCAGCAAAAATATTTACGTGTAGAATGTCATAGATTCCGTAAAGATTCGTTCTATCTGTACATGTAGTGTTTCATGCATATTACTGATCAGAAATTAAATGTTATAAAATAGTGAGCACCACCTATGTAGCAATTTCAGCCTCTGAAACGATATTTAATTAAAAGATTTATTTCAAGGTAAATTTCACTAGAAACTTTTCTGTTCAGTCTAAAGCTGCAAGAATTAAAAAAATACTTTCAACGTTTTCTATGCCGGAGTTTTTTTTTTCTTTTCTATTATTCATACGGGTAGCGATTAGGTATATATGAGGGATTATTGATGGTTGTTAGAAAAGTTATTGTGTACTTTAAAGCATGGCGTATTTCTGATTAAGTTCTTAAATTGAAAAAAAATCAGCTCCATTTTAATACTAAAATTTTGAAAATATGCAATGATTTTTACTGTGAGATCATATGATTTACGGAGCAATCACTTAGGTCAGACTGTTAAGGACAGAGGATACGTTCGTCGATAATATATAATTTTTTCTAAGATTTTGTCATTGAAGTATTGCTACTTTAACATGTTTACTCGTAAAAAAATGAGGCAAGATACCAGAGGATGTTTTTCCTATAAAATCCTTTTGGGAAAAACTTAATTAGTCAATAACACATTTTTTGGCGTTTCATTTTTTAAAAGACAATTAGAAACCAGTTTATAAATCAGTAGGTAATTAAAATTTTGAATATTTTCCACATAATTCGAAGGTATACAAAACAGATATTTGAGGAACGTATCATCTGACCTTAAGCCTTTTCACAGTTCTTAATATCTTTCAGTTTTATAGATTTTTTCATGTCTTTTTCACTCTTCAAAACATGCTACTTTTTTTTAATGCCTCTTGCTGCTAATCGGATAATTAGGGAGATAATAGTAATGTCTATGCAGATAAGCGATCAGGTATTGAAATAACACAAATCAATTGGCGCAGCGTCCGTGCGAGACGTGAGCTTCTGGGGTATCACATGCAGGTGTTGATCATCAAAAATGTCAATCCTTACATTCTTACAAAGTTACTACCTTTTGAACACTTTGGTCCTAGATACGCCTAGGCAATCCCAAGCAGCATCTGAAACATTTTAGTATCTTTCGCGCATTTTCCTGTTTCATGCGCTACATCGCGTAATTTTTAATCAAAAAAAGTCTTTGCAATGTAAACGAAAAAGTTACATGCTCCCTGAAGCCTGTTTTATCTGAATTATAGAGCTGTATAATGTTTAATGTATAATGTTTAAGGATCATCAGAAAACACTAAATCTTCAAATATTTATTGGAAAATACGTATAGTTGTTATCTACAGAGTTTTACTGGTTTCATGTAAATTTAGCGTGCTCACAATAGAACTTCTTTACAAAGGTTAAACCCATTTGATTTCATGTCTCTCATCCCAATTAAAAAAAAATGTCATTACATTTTTCCAATTATAAATTTTTTTGAAGGCAACATAATGTGGTCAGGATTAATGTCAAGATATAATTCGTACTTTAAGTGCAACGTTCTGTACTAATGCAGAAGTGAGCAAAAAGTCAACCTTTTTATTTTGAGTTTTTATTGACCTCATAATAGCAAATATAATGGAATAGGAGTACATGTAGAGAAAAATTTTCTGATATGTCAGAAATTTATCTGAGATATCCTCAAAGGGTGTTGTATGCTACATGTATCCATGCAACGCCGAGAAAAACGTTTCAAAGTTGTAGTTATCGTTCTTCGTCCACCCTCTTGTGCTCTAACTTAAGGATAAGGTAATTGGGTACCCAAAATCGGACAAAAATAGGATTTCATTTTCTATTTATTTTTTTCTTTAATCAAGTAAATTTCTTTTATTATGGTACTCGGGGCCATTGAGCAGTGAGGGATCCTTGTTCGTGCCAGCACCTACTGCGACACGGGACCTCGATTTATACGGTCTCATCCAAAGGACCGGCTGGTCTCCATCTCCCGCAGTGGGATTCGAACCCGCGACGTGAGGGTCAACTCCTCACATCGCGACTCTAGAGCAAACGCTGTAGCCAATGCGCCACTCGAGCGTTTTTTTTCTTTCTTTCTTGTTTTTGTATTGAATTTAAACATAGTTATGATAGGAAAGATCTGAGGAAAATGCAAAAATAAGGCTGGGTAAATGAGAAAGGAGATGGGTGAACATAGCGTGCAGAAAGCCTATAGATTCAAATATATAAAAATCATGTGCAATTTGTGAATTCATTATTTAGATTAAAGTTCTCATTATTGAAATTTATGAGATTATGATAAACAAAACTTTTCTGAGGAAAATTTTCTCGGCAAAATTTATTCTTTTATTTCAAAAATAATGTGGTATCCGTGGGGTTCGAACCCTAGCAATAAAAATCCTGAGTATCATTTTCTTTCGAAACTAGCACGTTATACCATTAGACTACGCAAGTTCTGATAAATAGTGGCATTTAGATCATGTTTGTGATATGACCCTTGACTTAATGGACTTCAAGTATTTCTCGAAAAGATGCGAATGATATGTCATAAAAGTATATTTTTAGGATATAGTGGGTCTTTGCTCCATATTTTAGGAAACCAAAAAATGTTTATTTTTATGTAAACTTCGAGGATTAATTTTCAAAAAAATGGAGGGAAGACCCACTCATATCGAAAAATATTGTTAAAGTATGAGAAAATGACTCTTTTTGCCCTCTTTAGTGTGTGTACAATATTTCATAAGCAAATAATTTCAATCTTTGTGGGATTTTTGCAAATTGTAGAGATTTTACATAAAGTATATTTTAATGTTAGATGAAAAATCAAGGAAAACTTTGA